GAGTTTCATATTTTAGATGATAATCCAACAAGAGCAATTTCCAGATATGAAACAGTTCTTTCAATAACACTAAGGCTACAACCTAGGCTCTATAAATATAACATACATACCACAACATAACCCTTGACCCCTTAGGGTCGTGGAGGTGTATCGATAAAAGCACTAACACATAAAACCCGCCACCTTTCTCTGTCTTCCACTTGATGAATAAGTCTATGATAGCTTAGTCCTGTTCATTTCTTTATGTTGTCATTCCAGTTCCTTCTTTGCCCTCCTCTTCTTCGACTACCCCCACCCCCTCCCCTCCCTATGTTCCCTTCGAATATGGCCATTGCTGGGTTCATATGACTCATTTTGGAGGGAAAAAAGAACAAACGTACTGCCATTTTTACAAGTATGTCGTAAAAAGCGACTAATTAAGTTTTTGCAAAAACTGGACAAAAGGATCTAGATATTGCAGTCGAGTTGTAAATCACAGACAGGGTGTCAGACATCCTTTAAAAAGGCCAGCATCGAAATAGACAAAGAAGCTGGATTCATCAGTAACAGATTCCACGTTTACTGGTTACTGTTTACGTAATACGCCTTTTCTAAGTCTCTTTTTTCCTTCGGAGCTGTTCTATCTCACGTATTTGTGACGAGCACCGGGACATTCTAAGTTAAAGACAATGTACCAAATCATAAAGCTCATAAGGTCTGGTAATCAGGATAGTAAAGTAGATGGCCCTGTTTCCATGCATTTAAACGTATTGGGCATATAGGGCTAGACCTGTATTTTATAGACCGATCGGCACACGATGGGTGATGTGGTCAAGATCATGCCGACCGCCTTTACATGCCCGACTTTACATGGTAACAACTTTAAGCTGAGTTTACACGGAAGGTCGGGTCGACGTTGGAGCCAGTGTCTGACAACACTGTCAGGACATGAACCCAGTACCTTCGAATTCCCAAGCGAGAGTCTAGCCGCTACACCACGGCGGCTCCCGTTAATCAGATTGGTAGTCAGGTAATTGCAGTTCCAGCTTCATACAAATCCCCACCCCTCCCCCCCCCCCACCCCCCATGATCCCTTAGTTGCTCTGTTCCGTTGAAAACCGCAAGGAATGTCTATCGTCATCACTTGAGAAACAAAATTAACCCAAAGGACGACATCCTTAATTTTATTGAACACACAACACTAAATCGATTATGTCATCAATATTTATTTTGTCAGCCGTCTTTACAGTGGAACTCCGATATTCGTCCACACCAATTTTCGTGTCTTTTAAATTCGTCCTATTTTTCATTGGCATTTTCCCTGTATACTCGCCCCGAAAACTCAATATTCATCCATCTCCGATGTGGCCAGCGAAGAGATTCATAGAACGGATCTGACTGAAGGTATGATCTTCTCTTTTTTTTTTTTTTTTTTTAGCATTTAGAGCCTTTAAGGTTCATTGCCCGCCTCCATTAATCTCTCTGGTTGGCCTTCTCTTTCCAGTTGGTGACACCAAGTTTTAGCAGGTCTGTCTTGTCATTATCTCTCCATCGTCTTCTTGGTCTGCCTCGAGATCTACGACCATTCTTGTGTATACAGTTTTTACTGTTCTGTCATCTGACATTCTTTCAATATGTTCCAACCATTTCATTCTATTAGCCAGTGATCAATGGTGATTTAAACAGATAATGTGTTACGTTGTTGCTTCTCACTCTCCATTGCCCGCTGTTAGCATCTTTGATGGGTCCTAAGATTCGTCGTAAGAGAAGGTATGATTTACCTGGCAAAAGTCTATATTAAAATATTGTGTCTTAAGATACATACGAACACAGGATTACTGGGTACGCAGGCAAATGTGCCAGTCCCTGTGACTTCAGTTACCGTGTAGTAAACACATCAACATCACATCACTATTACAGGCTTAGTCGACCATGCTTTTCGGTATTTTGCAGTCCACAACAGCATTTATTCATTAGTCCGTTGATAGAGTTCACTTTCTACTAGTTAGTGTTTTCCCCCACATATTGATATTGTTCATAATTCATGTCTTTATTATTTGATCACCCACACAAACACTCACTCATACACAAACACACACTCACACAAACATACACACACACACACACGTGTGAATAAGAGACTGAGGAGGAAGAAATAAAGAGAGGAGGAAGGGGAGAGGAGAGAAGAGAGAGAGAGAGAGAGAGAGAGAGAGAGAGAGAGAGAGAGATCATTTATCCGGCTGTCTAGGTGATCAAGTTTTGATGATTACGTATATTTTCAAGACAACCGTTTTAGAAATATAATAAAAGTTTATCAATATATTTAGCCTGTGTGTATGTGTGCGCGCGCGCGTCTGTATGTGTATGTACACTGATGGACACACACAAAATGTGTGGAATTTTGTGTGTGTTCTATAAATGTATCAAGGAAAGGCTTCCCAAGAGGCCAGACTGGTGGCCTCTCATGCAACGGACACCGGATCGAGTCTCCACAATACACTGGAAGTGGGTTTTTTCTGTTAGGGATAATTATATAGTTAGTTAATCAACAGATTATCCTCACTCTACACCGGACAAGTTCACAAGTGCTCGGAACCCATCTTCAGTCTGTCCCTCAGCGTGTGGCGACTGATGACATCAGCTCTGTGTTGGTTTGCCATTCTTCTTTTATATAATAAACAACTTGACGTGCATAGTTCGTGGCAAGAGCACCAGCCACACAACCCTAAATCCTCAGCCTCAAGAACTTTCTTTCATGCACGGTCTTAGAAAGTGGTAAATACAGACCTTAAACACAGTTTTTAAAATACATGTGTAAAGGATTTTAATGATTTGTTATATTTAAATGACAAACAGTCATAATCTTTTTTCTTTCTTTCTTGTATGAAAACACTTCGAGTTTAAGGTATACGAGTACAGCAAAACTAGGCATTTTGAAAAATTATTACTCATTTTACTTGATGTTACATATTTATTTATCGCATTCACTGCGAAACCGAAATTGGTATTATGTTGAGTCGAACATTTGGTCCATCAATGGGTAGCATGAGTTCCAGGGCCATAATATAGGGAAATAAAAGAATAGACCCTCTGCCTACCCAAAAGCATGTCGTAAGAGTCGACTAATTAGGAGCTTCCTTTGAAGTCTGACTGCATCTGCCTGAGAGGTAATGAACCAGCAGTCTGCACACAAATAAGTCAGATCTGTAAAACGGATGCACACGTAACACTCAGGTTCTGGAACAAGACTGCTCTAAAAGTGGATGAACAACCAGAACTTTCCGAAAGAGTTTACAGCTGGTGAACGCAAAGAAGAAGAAGAAGATATATTTTTTTAATTAAAGCAACCAGTCATTTGTACGTTTAGTAACAGGTAAACAAAAATTGGTATTTATGTTCACTATATCTACTCATTTGTAGTCTTTGACTGATAAATATCATGAATAGATATGAAACCATAAGAATAGTAGAATCAGTCATTTGCACATTACCACAATTACAAACTACAAGAGGACGTTGCGTCCATAGATCATTCATCAGCGTAAAGCATGAATAAGACAATAGTATAGTTACAACAATAATACACAAAATAACTTAACCGACAGAAGCTAAACGGGGCGCGTTTATGCAATAGTAACTTAAACAACGAAGCTTTCTCAGCCCTTTTAGTGTGTAACTGAGAAACTGTATATAGTTGTACGTTTACTAATATTGGATATCTATGTTTGTCTAACAATACATCTTGCTGCAAAAATTATGTGCTAATTATAGCATAAACAAATGTTAAGAATAATAAATTTTGAGTCTCACAGTGTTTGTGCAGTGTCCGTGGCTTAGGCGTTGCGAGTCAGACTCATTAATTCCAACGTACCGCTATCGAAATCCACTGCTGGCTGCGTGGATTGTTTTCGTGGTATGGGGCGTCGCAGGTCGACCCAGCCTAAAATGGGTACCAGGATGGCTGTCCTGAGAAAGTAAAGACGGCTAGCGTAATGCTGACCACATTGCCCAACTTGTGCCGATTGGTCTGTAAAATTATGGGATGCTCTTCCCATATGCCCGATGTGCCTAAGGGGTGAAAAGGGATCTTTACTTTTACTTTACTCATTGTGTGTTTATAGGAGAGTGTGTGTGTGTGCGTGCTTGTATGAAAGCCTAAGAGGGGTAAAGATGCAGTGGTACTTATTTTAAGAAACGACAAACGCATGTGTATTATTTAATTTTCTGTTTAAACACAGAAGGCCACGTAATATATTTGATCCCGTGAATACTATTCTCCGTGAGTATTAGAAGCTGTAGACTTTCTGCTGGTGTTGAAAGGTGAGGAATTAAATGAGTTACACCTCGCTTTGATGACGTTTGAAGAAAGGTTTGATAAAGAGCACTCCAACATACACAATTATAATAAGACAAATCCTATGTATATAAGAAACTCTGCTTTTCAGAGTGTGTCCGAAATATTGAAAACAAACTTGTCACAAGACATTACTACTGTTCTGGAAATGTGCTTTTTCTCAGTAGTAGTATGGAGTTGGTATATTTTAGTTAGTCTAGATTAATAGTTTCATTTTAAGTTGTGCTTCAAAAATGTATTATTATAATAATGGAATAAAAGCTGAATGCATTCAAAAACCAATATCTGAGAGAAATAATGAATAAAAAATGGGATGAATTTAAGAAGAGCGAAGATATAAGAGAAATGGCTAGGCAATCACTACTATCATCAGTTATGAGACAGAGAAGGTGGCACTATAGTGGAAATATTCTGTGAAGTGATGAAAAGAGAATCAACAAACAGGCACTGCAATAAGGACGAGGACGACCAAGATAAACCCTAAGGCGAACGTTGATGGTAGAAGCCAGCAGTTCTGGACTGGATCCCCTTCGTGATGTAGAAGTGAATGCACAGGATAGAGCGGAATTAAGTAACAGACTCTTAGCCCTAAATGTCCTAAATAACAAACAATGGCACAATGTAACAATGACATAAAATAAAATACTGTAATTTATAAACATAAATGCTATGGCCTGTAGGATATGTTGAAAGATGTCTGACGGACGAAGCAAACTCTTGAGTCCTTGGGGCACTGGCTAAACCTGTAGCGGTGTCTGACTGACAGCCACGGATCACTGTCATACTCCTCCATCAGCGAATTTTCGTCTCGAGCCACGATCTGCCTGCGCAGAATCTTTACAAAAGTGTCACATTCATCCTGGGAGCAAAACTCTTTCAGCATGGCGTTGTCATTTTCCACGATACGTTTAGCTCTGTGCAGATAAGGTGTGTTGCCTTCGCGGGGCAGGTTGCTGACATCTGACAGCTGCTCTATCAGCTCGGATATAGCCTCTTCATCAGTGTTCAGAAGTGCCTGAAACAACTTCTGTCGCAGGTACTCTTGGTGACGAGAAATAGAGCCCTCATAAAACATGATATCCAGTCGAACTAGTAGTTCCACTCCTCTGCCACGAACAGAACTCGCTGCCTCATCTCTGTATTTCAGGATGGTTGGAATGTTCTGTTCCGTGTATGGCCCGTGCATCCCTGTTTCAGAGTCCATGAACCGAAGAACTTGCGCGCCGCCTATCCCAATCCCATCAACACCAGCGAGAACAGCGTACTTTATTTCATCAAACTTGAAGCCTGCAGACAGAGAAGTAAGTAACCAAACCTTTCAGATGAGCCTCGTGAACAATCGTCAGCGCCTCCTGAAAGGTCAACTGATACATAATGCACTTAGAAGGGTAAGTATTACTTGCTCCGTCCCAAGTTACCTTGTCGAAGCCTCCCAGAGAAGTGATCATGACAGCATGTAAAGCAATATTAATTCTCTTGTTGAGAATATGCGGTTTTTCCATTTCAAAGTCATGTAAAAGTTCTTGATTGAGATTCCATGCTGCAGAAAGAAACTGCTTCCTAGAACGTTGGACTTGAGCTCGTAGAGCATGCATATATCTCATGGTCTGCGATGTTGACAAGCCTTCCATTGCGATTTTACATTCCGCTGCTCCCATAAAAAACGCAGAAGATGCTGAAGCAGCAGTAATGTGAACAATCTTGAGGAAATCTTCCTCAAAGTTTCCAGAATCTTTTACAGCTCTGCCTAGAAAGTAGGTCGTAGGGGCTGTTGAGCCAACATGCATGCGAACTCTTGAGAAATCCAGAACAGATGGGACTCGATATGATTCGATGTGTGTTCTGTCCAGGTGGTTTGGTCGTTCTAGATATTCAACATGAACAATAGCCCCATCCATCCATTCTGGAAATCGTGTTGTGCCCATGACATGTCCCTCGCCAGGGTCAGTGAGAGACATGTATGTCTGTGTGTGTGGTCTAAGTCCCGGCGTTCCCAGATGGCGGATCCGTTCATGCCTGCCCCACTGTCCATTGTGTATGTTCAAATAGCCTACATGTTGAGCTAGGTACTCACTATATGTAGGTTGTCTTCGCTCATCTCTCACCTGCCTCAGCATGCGACTCACAGCTCCGATGAAATCACTACCCAGCGTTTCTTTGTCCCAGGTTATGTAGCACTTGTGGTTTTCATCATCAATATCTACTGTAAAGTAACTTGTTTTTTGGTGTTTCGGAATAACCCCAACAAAGAGAGCATCTTCAGCACCCCATTCTGTAACCAACGCCCAGCACTTCTCGTACACTTCCTTCAAGTTGTTCATTACACCACTGCCGGATGTTGAGTGTATGATATTATTGGCCAACTCAAAGAAAACCTTAAAGTGTAGGTTTTCGGCCTTCTCAAAGATGAAACCCAGCCTCTCTTCGACTTTAACACAGATATCAGAAATGCTTGTAATGACAAAGGTTGGCAACTCTGAATCTGATTTAAAGGGCTGCTTCGTACACACAATTTTCGTATGGACATTGTAGAGGTTCTTCAGGGAATGTTGCAGACACGAAACGGCCACTTTTCTCAGTTTAGCTACGGTAACTGTGGTACTCATCTTCTGCAAAAAATCAGACGATAATAAAGCATCACATAAAATAAAGTTTAAACAGTGTTTCTTTGTAATTAAGACATATTGATGATGTGATGGTAGGTATAAATACATTTGGTAACAAAAAGATGAACGATGTGTCATCTGGTTGTATTAATCTGGAGACTTGGTCTCTTCCAAAGAAACACAATTAAAATAATAATAATAACAATAATAGTGACAATAATAATTCACTGTGCAAGTAAGGACGGTTTAGCTGCTATTACTCTCCCCCGAAATAGTAATTGGGAGCCGAAGTGGTGTAGCGGCTAGACGCTCGCCTGCCTATCCGCAGGTCGTGGGTTCAGTACCCGGCAGAGCTAGACTTTCTTCAAAAATGACCCAGCCTTAAATTTATACCACATGTTGACCACATTCCCACCGAGTGCCAATTGGTCGATACAATACAGGTCTAGCCCTATATGCCCACTACGCCCGAAGTCGTGGAGAAGGGTCGTTGACTAAAATAACAATTAACGCAATACTAATTAACAGTTAGTCAAATCAATTATTTCCTAGAAGCAGTGCTGGATTTAGGCATAAGCCAACTAAGCTGCAGCTTAGGCCCTCACAATCCACAGGGGCCTCAACAAATTCTGTTTTTTTTCACAAGTTTTTTGTCATAAAACCTTTAAGAGGATTTTGCAACATAATTCCTGTGATTTTGCAGACACATTCTTTATTATTTTATTTACCAAAAAATTAAACCACTATATGTTTCCATTTTACAAGACGTATATATTTTAAGGTTTTCTGGGATTAGCTGTCGTAATTTAAAACAATAGGGAACTCGTGGCTTTACATAGCTAGCTAGGGCTTCGTCAAGTCTAAAACCAGCCCAGACTAGCCAGTCCTATCTTTTGGCCACCTCTCTAAGGAAACAACGTAAAACACCCCTTTTATGATATTGTCACACCGAACACATGGCGCCAGGTCCAGATTGTTATAACTTAAGAGACCAAACTTTACTCGAAAGGCGATGTGGTCACAAGCAGGCCAGTCGCCTTTACTTCCCAGTACATTTCACGGTAACAATTTTAGGCTAAGTTAACGAAGAAGCCAAAGTCAATTATAAAAATCGACAACGATGTGGATTCCAACACAAGATGTTTGTGCAGGTAAGCGATCGTTTGGTCGCTGCGCCACTGTGTGTGTGTGGGTTTTTTAAAAACAAATTCACGTAATAGGACTTTAGGAATCGCTGTGGTGTAGTGGCTAGACGACCGCCTACTGATCTCAAGGTTGTGGAATCGCTCCCTGACAGAGCCGGACTTTGTCAGAATTGATCTAGGCTTCCAGGTCGACCCAGCCTTTATTGGGTACCATGTATAGTCCTGGAAAGTAAAGGCTGTCGGCGTGATGTTGAGAACATCACCCACCCAAACCGGTTGATATAAATCTATCCCTATATGATCATCACACCTGTAGGCGTGGAAAGGGTCTCCTACTTTTTACTTCAATTAGACATACAGTGTTGCAGCATGCAGTTGTGAGTTGGGGACTATCTCACAGTCACTAATGAAGAAAATATGGGCCTTTGAGCTGAAATGCAATATAACGCTTCTCAGACTACTACGAACCAAGAATACAAGAAATACTGGCAACATAAAAGATGTGAACATCAAAGAAGATTTAGCAGGTGAACAGCATCTTGTCACGGAAACTGAAATATTTTGGCCACATCAAGCGCCACAACGGATTGGAGAGAATAAAAGAAGAAGGCGTGATACCTGGGCAAAAAATGACAGGGACCGACCATCGCGAAGATGGGCACAAGATATAAGTAACACCTCGGGTTAGCACAGCATGCATGAGGGTGTAGAGCTGGCGAGAGACTGAGCTTTCAGGCAGGCCGTGATGAGAGCGACGTTCGGCAAAGGACCAGCTACCTGACAATGACGAATGGGTCAGCTGCAGGCAATTTCACTGAACATTGATTTGAGCGGGTTTTGACAACCAACACCTGCATGACATTCACAAAGCCTAGAATGCCGCGGTAAGTTACTGAATGTTAAATTGTTTGGTAACACCACACATCTAATAAAAAGCTAAATTTTGTTTAGGATATTCTATAAGCCATGTTCTTCATCGTAAGTTTCTTTGCGTCTGACAGAAACGTCCACCACAGTGATGTATCGGCTACAATGGAAAATAAAAGAAGATATCAAGAAAAAAGTTATTGCAGCACTTCGTCTTTTAGAAAGAACACCCCAACCACGTATTCAAGATTTTCTAGCCTCTAAGCAGCAACAGCTAAGAGGTGTAAATTTATAACATTGTATTTAATGAATACTACAATCAAACAAGTACGTGAATCCAAATATCTAAGAAGCATTTTTACAGAAGATGGCAGACTTGATGAAAAGATAGAAGCCAGAGTACAGAAGGCAAACACTGACACCTACAGTTAGCCCTCACTGCTTACACACCCAAATGTCTCCCTTCCACAAAACAACAAATGATTAATAACATCTTCCTGCTTACTTTATGCTATCTGTGCCAAACATGGACGATGAATAGGGAACTAGACCAGTAAATAACTACTAAGAGGTAGAGTTATGTATACCGGCAAAGACAAGAAGGTTGGAATACGACCGTGGGTGAATTATATTGACAGACAAAGACTGAACTGGTTCGGCCATACATTGAATATTCAGCCAGACCAAACTGCATATGAGATTGATGTTTTTTACAGCGAAACAACATCTAGCAGAAAGGCAACAGGAAAACCAAGATGTAAATGATGTAACTGTTACTTGTAAAATATGAACAAATTCATAACCCAGACCACTCGAGAAGCACAATACAAATATAGAAAACCGCTTACTGGACTACATACAATCTGGTTATGGTGGGACGACAAAAAAAAAAAAAAAAAGCATTTAATAAATAAAATGTTATCAGCTCGTGTATTTGTGTCTATCTCATCTTCAAACGAGCAAGCGAAAAATTTCTAAAATTTTCCAGGTCACCCTGTGTCAAAAGGTTGAGGTTCACTGCTATAAAGGACATGTAATTAACCTTAATGGGATCAGTAAGTGGCATCCTGTGAGGAAAACAAAAACCGTCATGCATGAGAACGACTTCTCAAACTAGTTCGTGCCACAAAGGCAGACAGCGGTGGAAACTAGACGATCGCATTACAGAATATGACTAGAATGTCCCAGGGAAGACGAACAGGCCCACACGCAAAATTCTATTCGTGTCCCCTTTCCTTTCATTTGTTGACTGTAGTATCTGCTCATTTTGACCTTACTTATCAGAATGACATGTAGTAGTAGTAGTAGTAGTAGTAGTAGTAGTAGTAGTAGTAGTAGTAGTAGTAGTAGTAGTAGTAGTAGTAGTAGTAGTAGTAGTAGTAGTAGTAGTAGTACTTTTACCCCACTAGGACATCACACAAGTGATAAACATGCGGTGACACAAAGTGCCACCATGCGGATGAGGTTCACCCGAGGAGAGGTCCCGGAAACAACGTTCTTGGTCTTGGAAGTGAAAACAAAAATTTCAAAGTTTGGCGACGCTTAACCGGATCCTATCTGAGCGTTGGTTAAAAATTAATGAAAAATTGCATCCCACAAGAAGATGACGATTATAGAATGACAACGCATTTCAAATCCTTTATACGTCAACCAATGGCAGAACGCTAAGAAGCTTCCGCGATTCGTCACTATGCATACAGAAAGATATGGTTCTGATTTTACCGCTGTCCTAAGTAAAACAGGCATTCATGTTTGATCGTTGTTGTATTTGTACTTCAGTTTTAAAGGATTCACTTATCTGCTTCATTTATGTAACTGTTACTGTAGTATGTACCTGACGAGATACAGTCAAATATGCCAGGCAATACATTGTGCAATCTGTTGTTTGTGTGTTCTTTGTTAAAATTCACAACGTGAAAACATTGGTTTGATATTAAATTTCAGCAAACCCAATTTGTGGGAGGGAGAAGCACGGGTCTGTTTGTCTCCTACACTACAATCCATGAAGCCACACGGAGAGTTGTCCATAACTAAAGTCTGTCTCTGCAAACCAAGATAAAGAGTGGCTTAAAGTTAAGATGCCTGCTAATCCATGTACACATGCTGATCCATGTACACATGCTGATCCATGTACACATGCTGATCCATGTACACATGCTGATCCATGTACACATGCTGATTCATGTACACATGCTGATCCAGTACACATGCTGATCCATGTACAACATGCTGGATCCATGTACACATGCTGATACCATGTAACACATGCTGATCCATGTACACATGCTGACCCATGTACACAAGCGATCTATGTACACATGCTGATCCATGTACAAATGCCTGACCCATGTACAAACATTCTGATCCTTGGTCATTACATGTGTGCATACGAACCATTAACCTGGTAATATCATATAAATAAAAAGCAGCTGCTGTTATATGAACATATGAAACCCTATCGTATTCTGATTGGTCTACAAAAAATTAATCCAAAATCACTAGCCATTTGCGTTAAAATCCTCCTTTACATTATTTACTACGATAAATCATCAACAACACACAGAAATAAACAGACGGGGTTACCCTGAAAGAAGTAGCAGAAAATTACACTTGCAACGAAAGATAATATACATGCCATTTAGCTTGAGTGCCGTTTTA